TACTATCATTACTCTAAAGGGAATGGAAATCCTCAAATAATAACAATATCTTCGGATCCGACCAACGGAAAACTAAATGATGCAGCTTACATTCTTTTTAAACCAATGCACTGGGTGGAGAACAATACCCTTTTGATGGTTGAAGCAGGAATTCAAAGACTACGGTTTAATTTGGTTAGAGGGAATGATGATGGATTTCCAGGAAGTAGTAGTTCGAGGGTTCGTTTGTTCCAAAAAGTAACTATTCCAAAGGAAGGATGATGTAATCAGTAACATTCTAGGCGTAATTCCTTATTTGTAAACCCACAGGTAAAGCAAGATGTACTTGTCAATTCAAGTGGAAATTTGGCGGATTCGCAAACACAGCCACCAGTTTTGCAGCCACAAGTTATGGATATGGATCTACTTACTTTCACCGAAGATGAGTCAGGAGTACTTTATACGGAAGTAAATAACGACACCATGGTTCATGATAATGAGGTCACTGAGGTATAAATTTTATCGTAACCTGTATTAAACGTGTTTGAAAATTATTTTTTGACATCCAACAATATTTTGCAGCTCTATATCACATGTGTATTTCTAACTGAAAGGCGCGCAATACTTTTTTCTCAAGAAGGTTCCTTTAATCAATTCATCGAATATGTTCGACAACGATTTGGGTCATCATTCAACAATATTTCTTATAAAAACAAAGTGGACGAAATGATTTCTCTTAAAGATGATGAAGACTGGGATGTCGCGAAATGGGAAGCAGAGATGGAAGGCACAATAAGACTGAATGTCTATATGGGGTGAAAAGGGCGTCATCGTGCAGTTAGAGTAACTAAAATTGATACAGGATATCTTTTTTTTTTTTTTTTTTTTTTTGTTTTGGTCAGTATTACTTTTTTTGTGACAATAGAAAATTTCTCCACGTTTCTTTTTTTATTTGAATAATTATAATTAAATTGGACTTTGAATGAATAGTCATGTGGAATCCACGCGAAAAAATTTTTATACTGATAGGAATAGGTAATACTGGTTTACGATATTTTGCGCTCGTTTTTCCATACATTTTCATATGATTGGAAAATACTTAAATAAATTCTACTGTACGGGTTTACTTAATCTACGCGGCACCATATGAGTGTTTGTGGTGTAACTGGACGTATAAAGCACAATAGAACAATAGAAAATATCCTTTCTTTTTATACATTATGCAGAAATACGCTATTCACGTATACTTCGGTCCGTTTTAGGTATATGGTTAATACAAATATATATTTTGGTATAAATCGAACTACTACGTATACAATAAACTGTCAAGGCAGAATTTCTTAACTTCTTTTTTTTTTATCGAATTACCATAAGCAGTAGCTATACAATGTGAAATGTGGGGTCAAGTTTATTTAAATTGTCTTTGACACTAATGCAATTTTATATGTTGCATGCAGGACTGTGAAGTAATTCGAATAAACAATACGTATAGCTTTTTGGCGTTATCATCATCTGTTGCCATATTGTTGGAGAAATAAGTAAAAAAAAAAAAAAAAAAAAAAAAGATGATAATAATAATGATGATTATAATAAATAATAATAATAATAATAATATAATAATAATAATTATAATAATTATAATAATTATAATAATAATAATAATAATAATAATAATAATAATCATAATATATAGTAAATAATAATAATCATAATAATAATAAAATTAAATAAAATAAAATAAAATAATAATATATAATAAATAAATAACATAAAATAATAATAATCATTAATAATAATATATATATATTTTAATATAATATATAGTAAAATAATGGCATCGTGTAAAAAGGGGTGAGAAGCATCGGGGTACATACCTAGAAAGATCGTCTCTAGGGGTGTGAAATTATGTTTGAATTCTCGATCATTATTTAATACAATGACCTAAAAAAAAAAAAAAAATTTAATGTGTTATCTATCACCCGAAATGTGATAACATGCATAATTTTCTAGTGATATACCAATTTCAGGCATGACATTAAAGCTCTTTATTTAGCATAGATTGCTGATTAGCAGCATTTTTTTAATAATAAAGGAAATTCTTTTGATAATATATGAAGATGATGTGTCATCTCCGTCAGGATTATGCGTACATTTAGAAGCGTGTTGGGGTACCTTGCAGTAGAAACTTATTCGATAATTGGCCTATGCGAGCCGTCAACGTTAATTGGCATAGTCTTCAACATAGCGGGGTACTTCATTTATCGTGGTAGCCTTAAAGTTCCCGCTTTAATATATATCGTTAATTGCAGCGCGCAGAATCCATAATCGGGTAGACTCGGACGAATGGCTATTAAATGATACTTTCCACCAGCAAAACTGCCGGCAGGTGATCTGGAATAGTGATACAGTAACAAGTAATTGGTAACAAGTAACAGGTAAATAATTTGGTGACGGGCATAAAGTCAGAATCGATTTGCCTTTTTTTGTTTTACACCAACCTTATTCTCATGTGCTCAATCCGGATAACTCGATGCCTCTGGCATACAGTTATTCCGAATTTGGTTAGATCCTAATATGGTAAAACACGTACACTTCGTTTCCCGCGTCTTAAAGATGAAAGACGAATACGGAAAATTTCTATGAATAAAAAAAAACCAGAAAACATCACCTAAAATGTCACAGACCTCTTTTACATCACCGTCCCGCATAAAAAAAGAAAAAAGCGGAAAACGGAAAACCGGATTATACAGTAAAATGAATGACCTGATATGGCTCTTTTCGACCTCAAATATTCAACGTGGTTTTAAGGGTTCAAAAATGTAGGGGACTGAATTCAGCAAGAAGTTTCATCATTGCTGCACAATGCCGAGTTAAACTATTCGCAGGATTAAGGGACAAAGGCTCGCGATAATTGAGTTTTTGAGTTACCTTATATGTCTTGGATTATCTTTAAACTTAAAAGACAATTATAAGATGTAACAAGAGACTGAGCCCTAACACATAAAAGTTTTGTTGTGGAATAAAATATTAAAGTTCATTGTAAAATCATTCTCAATTTGTATAATTTTTTTTTCTTGGTACGACGGATTATAATAGCTTTTTTCCTTTACAGAAAAAACGCTTTATAAGTAAGAATTGCGTCCTTAAATGTTAACACAGGCGTTCTACAGATGTTTGGTTCTTAGAATGGAAT